GTACGTCAGCTGGGAAAGACATCAAGAACAAGGAGAGATCTTAGTCTTACTTGAAGCCATATAGATGCCTAAGGCTCTTGCTATTGTTCTTTGTAAAAGGAATCAAAAAGGGAATAGTCCTAAGGCTGAGGGAAACCAACGAGCCAATGCAGAAACAAGAACAGCGGCCACAAGGCCAGTGGGGCCTCCACCACATCTACTGACTGCCTCCCTTCCCGACCTATACGGCGGAAGAGAACATATATTTTCAAGACAAGGGAGCCACTAGGAACCAAAAGGGGTGGCGGATGACCCCAGATGGAAAAATTGGGCTCTCACGGCCCTTGGAAGGACTCTCCTCCACCAATTACACCAGACCACACACCTAGGGTGAACTAAGATGCTCCAAGCTTTAGACCCCTACTTCCACTTGTTAGAAGGGAGAAGAACCGCAGAGGAAATTGCCTCACGATGCCTGGCTTGTGCCCAAGTTAATCCAAAGAAGGGGAAGTAGAAGAATCTAGGCATAGAGAAAGAGGAACTTATCTGGGGGACCACTGGGAAGTAGAATTCACTGAGGTAACCCTGACTGTTGGGGGCTACAAATATTTACTTGTTTTTATAGACACCTTTTCAGGATGGGTAGAGGCCTTCCCTACCAGGAAAGAAACTGCCTTAGTAGTTACTAAAAAACTACGACAAGAAATTCTCCCTCGATTTGGTCTCCCCGGAACTTTAGGGTCAGATGACGGGCCAGCCTTCATAGCAAAAATATCACAACAATTGGCTAGCTACCTAAATTTGCAATGGAAACTCCACTGCATCTACTGGCCCCAAAGTTCGGGCCAAGTAGAGCAAATGAATCAGACCCTAAAAGAGACATTAGTCAAGTTAGGATTAGAAACTGGTGGGACCTGGGTAGAACTTCTCCGAGCCAGGTGTACTCCATATATTAATGGATTCACCCCATTTGATATTTTCTTTGGAAAACCCCCACCTTTAGTACCTAGAATAGAAGATGAGAAAAAGGCAGAACTACATAACCTTGTCTTACTTAAGTCTTTACAGGCCCTTCAAAGTGTACAGAAGGAGATTTGGTCTGGGGTTTGTGCTGCCCACTCAGCCCCAGGGGACAGACTTCCCCATCCGTTTCAGCCTGGGGACTCTGTGTAGATCCGGAAGTTCACTTCCAAGGGACTAGAACCCAAATGGAAAGGACCCTTCACTGTCTACCCGATGATGCCCACTGAAGTTAAAGTAGACGGCATCCCATCATGGATTCATCATTCCCATGTGAGGGCAGCACGAGAGTGGACAGCTCAGGAAGACGAGCCCTTAGGACTAAGACTCAAGCATACATAAGTCTAACCCTTTGTTTTTTC